CACACAGTGGACAGCATTAACTGAATGAGAAACTGTCCGGCAGCAGCAGGTTGTTCTGTTGGTTGAGGTCGTGACGATGTTGCTCCACTTTCTCTGGTGACCCCGTTGTGGTTGCCAATCGTGGTCACTTGCAGCCATGATCTCTCTCTTGTATCACGACCCCCATCAGATGGTTTCTGACTAAAGACTAACATAGACAGTTGTGGTGAATTTTATTTAGTCTCTGTGTTTAACGAGGATCTCTTCTGTAAGATCACTGGTTTTATGAATGGAGTCTGGTGGGTTGTAGCACTCATTGTTCTGGTGTTCCTCTGGTGGCAGTGACATTCATATGGAAACCCTTTAAGATTAAAATTGTGCCGTAAGTTAACAGGATACAAATTGTTTTGTGCGTCAGTAGCACAGCAGCGTTAGCTTAGCATCAGATAGGAGCTCAGAACTGGATGATGTCTCACTTATAGAACAGGATCAGATATGAGGAGTAACAGCGAGATATTCTGGTTTAAGCAGCAGTTAGCGATGCATATGTCAGACAGAGTTTGTGCTAAGCTAGGCCAACCATCCTGAAACTGATATCTTCTTATTTAAATGTTTACGGTATTCTTAAAGGCTTAAACAAGAGTTATTTGTCCCAAACCTGCAGCCTTTAATAAACTTAAACTAAAACCTGAAAGTTCCTGAAAAGCCTGAAGTGTTGAAGCTGAACGCTGCCCTGAACGGCCTCCTGCAGGTTTCTGTTAGCAGGAACAGAAAGAGACGAGGCAGCGAGGAGGGAAACCTCTGTGGTTTCCTCTCTGACTGATGTGACATTCAAAGAGCTCACTGAAGGTCTCCGGACGGAAACGTCACAAACGTGAACTGGAGGATCACGTGACCGAAGGACAGGATGCGCTTCATTAATCGGGTCAACCTGAACCTCAAAACCAACTCCAAAAGACAAAAGAGACGAAATCAGACATAAAAACTAAAAGACAAACGCTTTAACACAGAATCCTCAATGGAGTGGGTCATAGATTATATTTATAATATATATATATTATATTTATGATATAGATTATATTGATTATACTTTATAGATTATCATCACTTCTTTATTATAGTTATATTTGATTATACTTTATCATTATTATACTTTATGAATTGTGTCTCAGCCCTCAGCAGCAGGTCCACAGTACGGTCCAGTTCAGCTCCACCTCGTCCTCTCTGGAGCTCCACAGACGGTCGGTGGTGGAAAACATCTACAACATCGACGCTGACGGAGGCGGCGATGGAGGCGAGTACGAGTACTGCCCCTGAAGGCGTTCGGGGCCCCTGCAGACGGCCACCAGGAGGACTTTATTAAGGGCCAGGACACTGCTGAGACAGTGGCCCCTGAGGCTCATGGGTACTGTAGTATTTGTATATATATATAGTAGAATCTAATCTTTCTGTAAAACTCCTCCAGCCTGACTGACATGTATTTATTGAATTAAAGACTGATTGACTTTTGAATGATGCGTCTGATGGTGATTGTTAAAACCAGAGTGTGTCTCCATCTAGTGGCTGAATCTTAGAACTACACAGAGCAGAGGCCAACTGTAATACTGTTTATACTTAATACATACATAATGATAACAACAACAACAACAACAACAACAACAATAATAATAACAATAACAATAACGATAACGATAATAATAATAATAATAATAATAATAATAATGATAACAATAATAATAATAATAACAATAATAATAATAACAATAATATTAACAAT